AATAAAATCACAATTAGAATATTGGTTTAAAATAAATGCAATTTTTGTTTTTAGCAAAATCATTCAGTCCAAGAAAACATAATAATGTAGTTTGCTTTTTTTTACTCAATATTTTGTAAAAAAAATAAAATAAAATAAAAATTATAGCCATTTATGTTATGTAAAGATTCTCTGAAATAAGAAAACAGCTGCTTGCAAATTAATCATTAGACGATTGATAAGATCAATCATCTTAACTGATGACTTGTATTCCTTGTTTGGAAGCTAGCATAACAGGATATTCTGCTGCATTTCCATCACTTTGATGTGTGAAACAGATTTGCGCCATAAAGCCTACGAACCTACCGGCTAAACATTAGGACCTAAAGGAACCAGTTATTGCACTCCAAGCGGTCCTTTGCAGTATGAAAATTGCTCAAAATGATATTGAAATAATATATTTATGATATACTGAGCACCCTGACGAATAATGTTGATTTTCTAGTCAGTTTTTTCACTGCTGATGGAATTGTGTGCATGTCTAACAAACCCAGGCATGAGCTTTAAGAGCTTCATCTACCTAAGTGTATGATTGAGTTTATGATGTTTTGAGAACGGTCTGCGTTCACTGAACACAGCAGGAGAGTCATTCCTGTTGGAGGAGCGAGAGTTTGTGCGACTGATGTTCACTTAATCCAGGCAGCAATAGAATTCTTGAATATCCACATCCAGTTCATTTAAATCAGGAAGATAGTCTCAAAGAAAAATGCTGATTTTATTTAAACTGTTGCTTACTGACATACTGGCAGCTTTAAATCAATCTGAGTAACAAGAACAGTCGAAAGGCTCCACATGGAACACGACCGTGTTGACCTCTGCCCTAAATAAGTATGTGTGATCGGAGGTCAGGAATGTGGGGCTCCGGAGCTAATTGAAGGGAAATCTGTGAGCTTATGTATTGTGTATTTTAACAGTGTTAACTGTAACTGACCGCCAGTCATTTCGCAAAGCAGTGGCAGATCCGCAAACGCTCTGATGACAGGCAGCTGACAGATTCCTGCAACAGACGTTCAATCTGTGGTTTCAAACCGACACTTTTTCATCCCCAGGAAGCACAGAGTCTGCTGTTTGACCCACAGTAAAGATACATAGTTTGAATAATGTCATTCTGGGGGAAAATTATGAATATTTAACAGAGCGGTTTGCACTTTGGTTTACAACATGCCTGGGTTTGACTTCAGGGGAAATGTGTCCCGCATTGATTAGTTCCTACAATTTGTGCTCGGCGGTATTCTCCCCACGTTTATTCCAAGCCATTAAACACAGCTTTTAAATGTTCCTCATGTTCAGTTTCCAAACCCTCGGGGATCTGCAGTCAGTTTGCCTTCCACTCTTTTTCCACACAGATTCCACAAAAATCCTCCCAGTTTAAGACCCTGTTGTTCGTTTATGAAGCCTTGTACAGCAGATTCAACGATAAACACGTCATCTCTGGCTTTGGTATGGAATACATAAGCCTATAATAAATGTGCGCAGTCAGATTTATTAGAAGCAAACACCACCAAGTCCTTCAGATAATAACAACTTAGAATAATGCTCCTTAAATAGGAAACAATAAAGATCATATCACATGAGGTGCACATGATTAGAACATGACTACTCAGCATTTTAAAGATGTGTCCTGTTTAAACGTAATTCATTTAGTTTGCTGCTCCTCGCTGTTGAAGTGAGAGTGAACATCATGGGGAGATCAAGAGAGGAATCTGAGGCTCCCAGAGAGAGAACTGCAGGAGCTCATTAGCCTATTACTGGATTTAAAGAGGTGTAAGAGGAGCACTGTAGAGAAAGCAGCCCAATATTGGAGGCCATTTAGATCCCACATCTGGCTGTTCAAGAAAGTTCATCTATAGAACCCACCAAATCAAAGAAGGGTTGAGGAAAATATGAAATCTGTAAAAACTAATGCTAAGGAGAAGTGAACCCATAACCTGCACAGTGACTCAAAGCATGGCAGTGACGCCACCAAAGTGTGACTGAGAGTGAATAAAGTCCTGGGCTTTAAGAGTGATTCAAACCTTCCTCAGACTGAAACTTGGTTCAAATCCTTTAGTTTAACTAGTAAAACACAATCATTTTAACTGAAATGGTTCTTTCTGCAGAGACAAATGAGAAAAGATCAGATGATATAATCAGACTCTTTGGCTTGGCTGTCATTTCTTTATAGGACTGAAGATTATTCATGGTATACTTCTCATTTTAGAGCAACTAACTAGTGGATAACTTTAGGACCACGCGTCTTCCTGCCGATGGCAGACCTCATGATGCCTCTTGCAGAGCTGCATGAGTGAAAACCAGCATGGAGAGAAAAAACATCTAAAAAGTTCTCAGGTAATGCCAATTAGTTGCCATGGTTACCTTTAATTGCTCAGAGAATGTGCATCAAACTACTAGTTAGAATAATAACCAAAGTTTTGGCTGCAATGGCTCATCTGAAAGTTGGATCGGTTGCATGAGCTCGTTTAAAAGAGCTGAAAGTGTGATCTGATCACTAGCTGGAAGCTAAAATACAACTGAAGCCCAAAAAAGAAAAGAATAAAAGGTTCTTCTGCTTTTCTTTTTTTTTTCTGCTTTTGGTAACCATGTAAATTTAAGAAGAGGCTCTGGCTGTATGCAAAATATGTATTAAAGCTAAACTATATTTTAAATTGCAGTCAATCCATGTGCAAAACTGCAGCTGTAACAGACTACTTGCATATAATTTCTGGAGGAAGATCATAGTTTCAGGTTCTGCTCTGCACAACTATAACATATTTGGTCAGCAGAATGGAATCTAATACTCTCCTACTGCACACAGCAGGTGTATATCTTCAGTAGCAGCATTGCTAAATCTCGTGCAGAGTGGTACCGGCATGATGTAGTAGTAAAGAGAGAAAACACTTGACGTTCTTATCTTAATTGCACAAAACCACCAACTTTATCATAAAGTATGAACCCCCTTCAAGGCAGCTCTGATGCATTCACAAATTAACCCCATCAGTTCAGGCTTACATTATCTTTTAACATGCAAATGAAGGAGATATCCAAACATGGCCGCAGCTGCAGATAAATTCCTGTTTACATGAATCAAAGTCTTTGTGTTCAGATGATTTGAATCAATGTGGCTTGAAGATCTAGATAGGCTCAGACCAAGACACGGCTGTGTTTATCTGGGATGGTGGAGGTGATAATAACTAGAGGCTATAATAAGTCAACCAGAGGATGACCATTTTTCCTTTGACTGGTTCTGATCTTTGATCTTTTCAAATGATGGAAAATATTTTTTTTAATCATGAAATGCATCAAAACAATGATTTTCCACCATTTTCATTCCATAAAAGCCTAAAACAGTCTTTACTCAGATGCATTCCTTTCACTGAGGAACAAACACTTTATCCAAAACCAGTACCTGAACCAAACAACCAGCCTTTCTTTTTTTTTTTTTAACTACTTTGTGCCAAGTCCTCAGATAGAAAGAAATCTGAACTGGTCAAAACCTGAACCAGGAAGCCGCACTAAAAAAAAAAAAAAGGCCAAAAATCAGTACCGGACAGATAATGGCAGATTGTTGGAGCTCTACATTTTATTTTGTGTCTTTTCCAAGTCAACAAGTTATTTACAAAGTCTGCAACTGACTCTTCTCATTGATATTTATCTCCTAAATATAAAAAGTGCAATTAAAGGTATTGTGGAGGATTTTCGTGATTTTTTTAAAGATTGCCATAGTCCACTTTTAAAAGAATGTGTGTGCGAGAGCGTGCACGAGCCCATTTCTCCTTGTGCACGCCGAGTCCGAATGTCCGCCCTAAGCCCTAAATCCCTCAACAACTATATAGAGCGGGGACTTTATAGTGGACGTTATAGCGAACTCCGTTAACTGACTGTTTGGACAGATAATCACTGCTTTTTGCCCCGTTGGTAACATAACTCCTCCTTCACTGGGCAGTGCCTGCGCCATCTTTGTTATTAGTCGCCGTTGTCGGGAAGCAATAATGGGCCGCTTTGACAAGAAATCCCATAATGCTTTGCAAGGAGAGCTCTCTGTGCAAAGCTTTCCAGGATATATCTGCCTCCTCTGATGCCTTACTTTTCTTCTCATACACCTCACTTTTTCTCAGCACAGCATGGGACGATCGTCACGTTGCTCTTCTCCGCTCTTAATGAACGTTACTTGAATAGCTGCCTTCAGATCATCTGCATCTCTGTCTCTGATCATCCTCTTTTAAACACATTACAGATTCTCTATGGTGGTTCAGATTAGGACAGTTTGCAGGCTGGTCCAGCACAACAACATCATGATACCTTAACCTTACTTTTGAGAGCTGCTGCCGTTTCTTCCCCGGAGAAAAAAGTAACTAATCTGATTGTGCATCATCTGCCTTATGTTTTCCTTCTGCTCAACTTTCCAGTGATGTGCCAGGATGTAGCACTCACACAGTGACCTTTGAGGGTTTGAAGTGTCTGCTAAGGTCAGCAGTCTTTGCCATTGTTCTGCAGAACTTTGTTTGAAATAGTTTTAGTTTAACAGAATAAAAATAATGACTTAATTATGTAAACTTATTGAATGTGCTAAGATTTAATTTTGCACCTTTAGAAAATGAAGCTCATCTAACCTTTATCAAAACTAGTTTACTCTAATTTTAGTTGAAATTATTCTGTGGTTTGAATAATTCTTGGGTTTAAGTTGGTTTTCAATGATTGTGTGAAAAAAATTGCAAGGTATTAAAGTTTAAAAAAAAACACAAACCTTTTTAAAAATACATAAGAAAAAGGCTCAATTTGTTATAAATTACAGTTTAATTCTGTTTTAAAATATCTTCTGTCTATACCTATTGTTTTAGAAGTAATCAAAAAATCATGAAATAAAATACCTCCATTATAAAATCCTTAATGAAAAGTTATCATATTGAGAACCTGGAAATGTGATTGGTGGATTTCCAGCCTTCGGCCTTTTCAAATCCCCGCTCTCGCGTTGGCTAACTTACCCTCCAGCGTGACTTCTTTCCCGGCCTTCTTCAGCGCCTGAACCGCCATGTCGTGCGTCGCCTCCCGGAGGTCGTTCCCGTTCACCGACAGGATGGCGTCGCCCACCCGGAGAGCCCGGCTCTGATCCGCGGCGAGTCCCGGGAAGATCTTAGAGATGAGGATGGGCATCCGGTTCTCCCGCCCCCCTTTGATACTGATCCCCAGCCCGCCGGACTCCTGTTTGACAACCCGGACTTTCCGCACCGCTTCGGAGGAACCGTCCAGGCTGACCGGGGGGTCGCCTTGCCTCGACCCGAAGCTCGACCCGGGACTCCCGTAGCCAGACCCCGGACTTCCAAAGTCAGAGTTTGCTCCGTTAACCGGGTACTTTCCAGAACTGTTTACACCGTAGTTTCCATCATACTGACACCGGCTGACGCTCCCTCGACCCGGGCTACTACTGCGTCCCCGGTTCTGAAGCTGGTCTTGACCTGAGGAAGAACCGCGTCCAGGGTTCCCGGGGCTCGCTCCGGGGTCATTTCCGTTCGACATGCCATTTCGTAGGCCAGCCGAGGTGTAGTCCCAGTGATTACCCCCCTGTCCGCTCAGCTCCGCCTCGGCCGTTAAAGTCAACGTCTCCCGCGTGAGTTCGGCTGCCACTCGGATCCAGCGGTCCCGGAGCAGAAGGTCCAGCTGGCCGTTTTTGTCCGCTCGGGTCCAGACTGCCATTCCCGGGACGGTTAGCCTGCTCCGAGGCTGGGCCGCTCTTACTCTGAACTCCTCATCAACTTTTTCCTCTTTTTCAGAGAGCGCACGAGCGACTGCGAGGCTACACTGGCTCGCATCGACACACCCACTTCCACCCGTGGCCCCGCAGAGGGTGGGTGGAGAACAGAGGGAGTCCCAGAACACAGGGAGCGGAGGGGAGCAAGCGGGCTGCAAGCGGCGAGCTTCGGAAGGCTTGTTGATAAGTTCCAGCCCTAAAGCTGAGCGACTTCCACATGGATGTTAGCATGAACACAACCCAGAACATCCGGCAAACCCTTTCAAAATAAAATCATACATATTCGCCAAACGTTTTTAGAGGTCTCAAATTTAGGTTCTGCGATAATATGGACTGGAGGACCAGGAAAGTCATTGGAAAATAAAAACAGCAATTTCAAATTTAACAATAGAATCAGACAATTAGAAATCCAATTTGAAAAGTTGTTTTTTTTGTATTTGTGCATTTTGATTGATTGATTGATTGATTGATTGATTGATTGATTGATTGATTGATTGATTGATTGAAATGTACTTGTTACCACAGCTCAAAATAGTCAAAAAAGAGGAATGTGCCATCGGAAGAAAAATGTGCATGGGATATATTTATATATATTTTATAGTAGGATCATTATACAGGGTTATGGCACAGTGTATTTACATGTGTATTTATATAGATGGATTTTTATTTTTACATATATAGTAATTGCACTGGATGTCAAATATAGAGAAACAGTTATTACACAGCTGCTCAGATCCTCTACAGTTTGGTGCAGAGGTGGAAGGTGCTGTCCATGATGGATGTAAGCTTGGACGTCATCCTCTTCTCAGCCACTTCTTCCAGAGTGCAGCCTAGGACAGAAACTGCCTTTCTCACTAGTTTGTTCAGTCTCTTTCTGTCCCGCTCTGCACTGTCAGGGGCCCAGCAGACAACAAGACAAATTGCATATTATTTACAAATAATATTTCTTAACAGATATATATATATAAAAAAAAAAATTCATAAACCTGATTCTAAAAACTTCTTCTGATCACACATTTGCAAAGGTAATTCCTTATTCTGTCTCCATCTTCCATCTCAGTTTGTATTTTTAAATTCCCTTTGGTGTTTAATTTCTTTCTTTCTTATTTTTTTTTTTTTACTTTATTCTTTGCTTTGTAAGTTTTTTTTATTTTTGTTCTAAATAAAAAAAAATTGTCCAACAAGTATAATTTATAATACTGACCCTATCTAAGACAAAATAATGATAATAATTCTTTAATTAATGAATTCTTATTATTTACATGGGTTTATTTTGGAAGTTAAAAGCAGTAACAATTTGAATTTTTTTCAAATATTTGGTAAATTTGTAAGTATGATGGAAATACATTTACCAAATCAAAAAGGTCAAAAAAAGATTGTTTGATTAAACATGCCTATGGCATTTCTAAAACTAGGGTTTCAAATCTGAAGCATGAACATTTAAATGAATAAGATGTGCTGTAGTTTTCTATGCTTGTATTGTGAAAGTATAATCTCCATTTCCTGTTTGAGTGTACGGAGTACTGATTGCTCTTGACTTCCAGCTGTTTGTGTCGAAGAGTAAACTCAGAGCCGAATGACAGGAAGAGGCAGCCAATAGCTGCACAGAGCGGATTATTTATTCATGAGGGGGCGGGGCTTCATTCAGGACGCATTGATCCCTGATAAAGGAAGCAAAGCCTTCTTAGTTCAAACACCGCACTAGCTGTATTTATAAATCCCACTGCTGCTTACAGAAGCTGTCTTTGAAATAATGCAGGAGATATTTAATTCTGCTCACTGAGCAAATATTTAAAATGTTTTTTTTTTTTTTTTTACCCGTTAAGCTTTAGGACTCAACCTAAGGTGAGAAAACAAGAGTTTTTCAGATTATGAAATCAGAACTGGTCCCTTTTTAATTTAATACTTCTGATTCCCTGATCTTAAAAAACAAAACTTTTCATATCTAAACATAACTTGTAGAATAAAAAAAAATGAATTCCAAAAAGCAGTCTGCAAAATCGAATTAGAATAGGTTATAAAATACATTTGCATAAATGTCTGATTCTTTTACATTTTTAAACACCTATACTATTTATGAACTATTTACTATTTCATCATTCTGTTTCATTCTCTATTATATCTCTATTCTCCAACTCTGCAGAATCTATTAGTTCAATCTCTAACATTATGCTCTCTGTGCTTTTTCTCATATAGCTTTGCCTTGTCTGTTCCTGTTTGGCTGTGACGCCATCCTGGAGAGAAATATCAGCTGTTCTGCTGCCACCAACACCTTTGTTTATAGATGTTGGAGATCAGCCTGTTTTTCAGTGTAGTCCTGTTTCTCTGACTGTGACTGGCTGGATGTGTCTCTTCATCCTCTGACATGGGAGCTGGCTCGGAGCTCATCTGCCTTTTGTTTTTATTTTTTATTTCACTGGAGACACATTTATTTTCTAAAACAACTAATTCATTATGTTCACCTCATTTTGATCATACTTAATGAGTCAAGTTTCTCTACCAGAAGAAGTTTCTAACAGAGACAAGGTCAGGAAACAGGTTTACTTTAATAAAACTGATGGAACAGAATGAAAGGGGAGAAATGTTTATACCACCAATATATAGTCAATTTGTTTTAGTTTTTGAATTTCTACTCTTGGAAGATTTGTTTGTTTCTTAAGTTGATCAGGAAAAAATGTCATATTAAAATGTGGGAAATGTTTTGAAATTATTTTTGAATTTGAGGAATGTGTATGTCTCTTTAGATGCTATTTAACCCCTTGAGAAACACCCATAGGTACACTGTGGGTTTTAATTTCATGATTGCTGTGTCATTGCAGGACACCTTTATTACTCTGTTGTTAAGTTAGCCCACAGTAAAACTCGCAGGTGCAAAACTGGTCATGTTTATCATTGTATTTTTATTGCAGCCAAGGTTCAATCTGTGTTTACAAAACCATAGCAGATTGCAAAGCGTCCATGTGGGAGAGAAAGAGGCGGGAGGTTCAACCGCTGGCGTTTCGCAGAAGGCCATTGAGCTACGCCCGCTGAAGGTGCGGCCTGCAGCTCCACCCTGTTACATTCAAAGTGTCGCTGCTGTTTCATCTCGCCCTGCGGGTCTGGGATCTTCACAAGCATCAGCAGAGCGGCCTGGTTGTGATGCAGCAGCAGCTTGTTTTTTTATTCTCCTTTTTTGGTGATTAAAAATAAATACTTTGATTTGTAGAAGCTTTTCAAGTTTACATCTTTGTACGTCTAAAGTACATTCAGGACACAAAAACAAGGCAACCAATCAAACCATAGATGCTATTGCAACATAGCACAGCTTTGACGTCACAACCCCACCTTCACCCTCTTTCTAGACCCCCGCCCCTCGAACCCCAGTCCCCCTTATGATTGAATTCACCCCCCCACCCCTGTGCGTGAGTGAAAGTATGGTGCAGCAGATAGGGCAGATGCAGAAAGAGATCCCAGTGAATGTGTGTTTATGTGTGTGTTGTGAGTTAGATGAGGAGAGTTGGAAGGTAAAGCAGCTGAGCAAAAAAAAAAAAAAAAGAGATCTCTACATTCTTGCTAAAAAGAGTTCTGAACTGCTTCAGTGATTTTTCTTCTAGACCTAAGCTTGACAGTTAAATGATACATTTAACGCTCCAACCCAGCAGAATCAACACAGAAGCACCTTTACTGGATTATATGACTATAAGACACCCTGCGACTCTCGGGAAGCGAAGGGGAACCCTCCTCCGACAAACGTGTGCACAGTGAGGTCAGTGTCTGATTCAGTCATTGCTTCGTGCTGTCGGCGGTCTCAGTGCGGTGGAGCTGCGGTGAAGGTCGTTGGTGGTGATGGTTCGGTTGAGGCAAAGCCTCGAAGTTGGACTGTCGCTGCAGCTGAGGCCTCTCAGCGGCCTTGGCCTCCCTCTTTGGGGTGTTGTTGAGGAAGTCCAGGCTCCGACGGCTGGAGGAAATGACGTCGGCGACGAACTTGGTGCATTCGGCGCAGATGTCACGCAGCGTGCAGCCGTGGGCGTACAGGTGTGGAAATTCTTCCTCCACTGAGCAGCGGGACAGAGTTCGCAAGGATCTACAGACAGAAGGAGGATGGGAATCACATTTGATATAGAATTAGACATGTAGAAGTAAAAGATGATCAAGAGAACTCTAACTTACACATATAGTACAACAGAGATGATACAGAATACATTTGGAAATATAATACTTTCCAAAAAGTTAAACTCGTATTGACTAATTTAACACAGATTGAAACTATAATTATAATGATTATTTCTGTTAGTTTTAAAAGTTATGGTATAAAGGTTAAATAAATCCCAAATTTGAAGTTTTCTGATTTAAAAAGTGATTTTTCTACACAAAATGCTTCATTATGGCATAATCTATGCAATGGGAACAAACTGCAGTCCCAGAGGGCTGATGTCCTGCTACTATTAGATGTGTGTCTGCTTCATCACATCGGACTAATTGGCTCATTAGCAGATCTCTGTAGATCTGACTGCATGCTAGGGAAGTAGTTTAGCAGAAGACGTGCAAAAGCTGCAGAACTCTGTCCCTCGAGGAAAACTGGGGAAAACTGCTGACTGGACAGTCCAACAGACTCTCACCATTTCTAACAGTGTTGGGAATGTAACTAAAAAGTAACAAGTTACTTCAAAATGTAACTGAGTTAGTAACTCAGTAACTGTAAGAACACAATTTGTAAATGGAACTGAAAAAAAAATGCTCTTCTGTCCCCTATAGACTGCTAGAGAAAGGCATCTGCCGCACCCCGACCCTGACTATTTATAATGTTGTATAAATACTATTTAGTGTTATATATCTTTTCAAATACTTTATTTTATTATTATTTATACATATATATATATATATAACTACATGGCTTAAAACCTTGTGTTTTATTTAGCACCACTCTGGAACAGGGCTATCTGCTCATTTTAATGGGCCGAACCAAAGCGGTTTGCACATCTTTACATTTGAGCAGTAATCTTTGAAGATCACTGCAACACCTCCTAAAAAAAAAATAATGTGTGCAGTTTTAAGCTTCTTATTCAGAATCTTTGAAGATCAGACCCTCTGTGCTTTTTCCAAAAAAATCTAAATAGACGACAAGACTATGTGTGTTTGTCTCTCAAAACTGAAATGGATCAATGATCCTTTTTTTTTCTTTTAGGGGTGAGACGGTTCCTGATACTAAATC